GCATTCGTCTGACCAACACCAGGGGACATCCTTTCCAAGCAACCGATTTAGCGGGGGCCGGATGTCGTGCAACGAAGGCAGGAATGCCGAATAGTAGCTGATTAACCCCAAAAGGGAACGTAATGATGGTACATCCTTAGGAGGTGGCATCTGCTGTATAGCTCGAACGTTTTCCGGGTCAGGATAGCGACCAGAGGCGTCAAAAATGAACCCAAGATATTTCACAGTTGTCAAGAAGAATTGACACTTCTCGGGACGGAGGCGGAGGCCATTGTCCTGAATGCGCAGTAAGACGGCATTGATTCGCTCACGAAGCTCTTCGGGGGAAACAGCAACGATCAGCACGTCGTCCAGGTATGCGACCACACCTGGAATGCCAGAAAGGATGGTGTCCATCAATTGCTGGAAAATTGCTGGGGCGGTTTTGACGCCAAACGGAAGACGGTTGTACTGATACAGCCCGCGGTGTGTGTTGATTGTCAGTAGTGGGCGTGATTCTGGTGCGACTTCAACTTGAAGGTACGCTTCAGCCAGGTCGATTTTGGCGAAGAACTTCCCACCGTTCAGAACAGTGAATAGATCGTCGGGTACTGGTAGTGGATAATGGTGCTGCTGGATAGCTGCATTTAGGCCGGTTGAGAAATCGGCGCATATGCGGATGCCACCGTTAGGTTTCTTTACTACAACGATCGGCGCTGCCCAGGCAGAGTAGGATACAGGGGACAGAACGCCTTGTTCTTCCAACCGTTGAAGTTCGGCATCTACCAGTGGGAGGGAAGCGTACGGAACTGGTCTCTTTGGACGGAAGACTGGCGTAGCTCCCGGCACGAGGTGGAGGACTGCTTGTGTCGCAGTGCACTGACCGAGACCGGACTGGAAAACAATTGGAAATCGCTCCATAATGTCGGATGCATGATCTGGATGCGCTGTAGGAGACTGAACTGCATTGCAAACGGCGCTGATTGGAATGTCGGCTAACCCAAGGCGATCGAACCAATCAAGACCCAATAGGTTCAACTCAGTTGCCGTTATATAACACGACCCCACAAATGTAGTTCCTCGAAAAGATACACAGCACTGGAGCTCACCGGAAAGTTTTAACTCTCCACCGCAGGCACTGGTTGCAGTTCGAGCTGCTTGTCTGATCGGAGGTTGCCCGAGCGTGCGCCAAAGCCTCTCCGAAATGATGGTAATGTCCGACGCAGTGTCCAACTGCAGACGGATTGGATGACCATTTACGGTGACTGTCAGATACTTCCGGTTACCTGGCGTGTTGATCTGGAAAGTAGCCAGCAAACTGAGAGAGGAGCCAACAGGGTTCGATTTCGGTTTGGGACGGATGCGTGATGATTGCTTTGAAACAGCAGAGGCCGTATGCATCAGTGACTGACAATATCCATCTTTGTGTCCCACGGACTTACATTGGCGGCACCGATGCTTCTTGTAAGGACAGAACCTGACGAAGTGCCAGGCTCCACAGTGCCAACATTGTGAAGGTGGTGTCTTCTTTGAGCCTTTGTTTTGCTTCGGACCAGAACACTGCGAGGTCGATTTGGTTGGGCCAGAATTGACAGGGCCAGGCTGTTGCGTATCCTGGTGTATTGCATGAACCTCGGAACCGCCATGACCCCCGAGTTGGACCATCGCGGTGTCATGCTTCAGGTTAAGCAACCGTTGACACTCCGAGGTGACGGCCTGCAGCGTCATGGATGGGTCCTGCTCGATGCGGCTGAGGAGTCGGGTACGGATTTCTGCATCCTTCGGGGATTGTAGACCACATATGAAAATCAGCGACTTGAACTGATCTTCCGTTAACGATCCGAGTTTGAACCGTTCGCATTCTCGGTTCACGATGCCAGAATATGTGAGGAAGTCGTCTGCATCACTCTTCACTAGCTTCATGCATCGATAACGGATGTTGAAAAGTGACGTTTGCTCACCGAATATTTGTGAAAGCGTGTGAACCGTTTCATCAAAAGTGAAATCGCGCGAGTTCTTTGGCAGATAGTACGCAGATAGTACGCTAACTATATAGTTAGCGTACTGATCATGCTCTGCGGGTCCAAGTTTGCGGAGCAGGAGGCGAACCTTCCAACTATCATCTTGAAGTGAAAATCGACCCTGAACAGGTCTTCATAGCAACGAAACCAAGCATCATACGTTATGCCAGCTGAGTGTTCATAGCAGAATTCGTTGATACTGCCAGCGATTCCATCAACCGACTGTGGGACGCTCGACGCAGCCGGTGAAGCCAAAGATGTAATTGATAGTCGTTCCGTAAGTACTTTGATGAGTTGCAGTTGTTGCTCAAACATTGCTTTGAGTTGTTCTGCCTCCATCTTGCGTCACCAAATATGTTACGGTTCGGTCACGCAGCGAGCAAACAAAATGATATGTGGATTGTGGCAATACTCTATCCCCAGCTATGTTGCTTGATCCAGACTCCTAGCGAGGCGGATAGTAAGAAGACGAAAAACCTCGGACACAAACTTTAATGATCCAACAACACGCGATCAACAGGCGATCTTGGGAAAAAATGACAATGTATATATATATTCATAGTTTGACCTTGAAGATGCCGGAAGTTCGCCAGCCCACATAAAAATGCAGAGTTTTTGGGGGGATATTGATATCCCCAACAATTACGTGGGGACTGTTGAAGTTTCAAGATTGAGCTATTCTATTTTATTTAAAGTCGACTCTATATCAACCGTTTTTCTACAGTCGATTTGTTCACATTCATTTCTAGGTTTGTTGTTGAACATTTTGTCCCACTATGAACTGCACATTTTCCCACTTAATTTGTTCGATAGCACACTGCCCTTCATGTGCCATACTGTGTTGCTAACTGCTCAAGGTTCAATCTAGCCGTAAGCCTATCTTTAATTCACCTCACGATTTACTGTTGATTTCTTATAGAACCACAGTCTGCTTATCTATACTGTCTGCCCACGTTTTATTCAATATATTGTTCACTACCCAATTGCAACTACTGAACACACGCAGGTGGAGTTCGTAGAATTCGGTTTCGCCGCAATTATTACTGGCCGTCCGTCGGTGAATTAGACTACACGTTACCTGTCAGATAGGACACCTGAATCGTATGTTTAGGCTAACTAACCAATTCCTTGCTTTGAGATTACGGTCTTAGCACAGGATAGTACAGACAGATTCTACTGAAAACACAGGTAAATTAGCGAAGAGCTAATTATATTGATGAGATTTTCAAACAAATTCGGTTTTAGCGGGAGATTTAGCCAGCGCAACCTCTCATCTGCAGATGACAGTATTTCTCAAATTGGATACAACTAGGGTTCAGTTAGAAACTAAGTTTGAGGGAATCTCGGAGCTGTGCCTATTGGATTAGTCCGGAAAGAACGAAACAGGTTGTAGGCTGTTCACTAGTCTTCCGGTTTTTTTGGGGAGTTGATGGTTGTGAGAAGTATGTAAGGCCGCGAACTCCTCGTTGTAAGCAATTTTCAGACGATTTTAGGTACTTTTTAAACTGCACCACACAACAGGCAACTCAGAACTTCTCACTTTTCTAGTTTAGCTAGCAGGATTGGCCCAGTATTCGCCGTAACTACATGTATGTGACTCACAATTGAGCTATTCCCTGACATTGATTCCACAATTGACACAAAACCCCACCAGGGCCAGTTCGTGTTTTGATCGTGCCGGCATGTGGGTTGCTGGTTTCGGTTTTCAAGACAATCAAAGCATACTTGCTGTCAAAACAAGCTCCTTTAAAAACGAGAAAAACGGATCGATATTAGAACACGCTTTTGAATACTGGCTCAAGAACCGCGGTGGACAGTTGTTTCCTGGGCGCGTTTTGAAGGAATACTTGAACTGTATGTAATTTACATTCCTTTTGTTCTTGAGCAGGCAAGAGTGAGGACAGTCCTTAACAGTTTTGCACAATATTGCATAACGATTTAGATTTATTTGTGTGCCTGTTATCGACAGGCGAGCGCGGACTGATGAGTCCATAGGAAATGTGGTAAGCAGGAAGCAGTGCAACAGGTCAAATGACTTTGGAAATGCAAGTAGACTTTGTGAAGCTTTCCACCTATCTAGAAGGAATCTACTTCAAGACAACATGAACAGTCTCTCAAATCGGTGAGTTCGCTGTAAACATTCTCCGTTAACGTGTGGAATGGTCAAGTATGTTGCGAGTCAGTCAACGTTGTTACTTTGTGCTATACTTGCGTTCTGCAACGACCTGTTTTACTGTACTCATGGACAACTGATTTAGCTTCAGATATGTGCTAGCCAGACCCACACTGGTAAAACAGTTACAGCTGTTTAGATCTGAAAGGTCTCTTCTGTGAGGTGGACTCGCCTAAGAGGGAATAAACAGAAGCAAAAATGAAAAAAACGAGTGGTACGATTGTGTGAAAACGAAATTTAGTACATGTTGCCTTGACCTTCGCATAGCCTAAGCAAACTTGACTTATCAACATTCGTGGTGCTTTAAATGAAAGATGTCACATTTGGTTTACCCACGATCCCAGGATAAACAAAACACTGTGTCCAACTCATTAATCACTGACAGTCGACAACTGCGGTGCGGCATTGGAGGGCCGAACGTGAGTGAGAGCGAATCCTGTGAATTGTTTCGAAGGTTACTGCGGCAATAACGGGGCAGAAATGTTTCAGTCCGATTAAACCTGTTGAAAATAGCATGGGAATCGGTTCTGAGGGAAAATCGAGAGCAGCAGGATACCAAATGTTGCTGTAGAATGGTCCTGTTCCGTTCTTATCTTATGCGCGACACAATCACGAATAAAGCTCGACCTCATGATAATTCCCCCGTTCATTTGCTTACTTCATCTATATACTTTTAATCTCTACTCGTTTTGCTCATTTGTACGCGCAAACTCACCTTGCCGAAAAGGCCGTCCCATCCGACACCTGTATGCTAGCATGTCTGTGTGAATGTGCGCCGCTGACTCACTTACCCATGCGTGTTCCTGTCCCGTTTGCTGAGCCTGCCTTCACTTGTTTTCCCATAGGTACTGTGTGTTGGCACCGCCAGTGCGAATCACGAGACTGTCGTCGGAACTGGCAACCGCAACCCCGTTTACTGGGCCAACATTCCGATCACTGCTGTTTGATGTGTGGATGTTGACACTGCACTGTGCCGATCAATGACAAGCTTGTGAACATGTTGATGGTACGAACGTGGACAATTGAGGTTTTCGTGCAAATTTGCTTACCCTTGTGTAAAAAGTACTGCGTAGACTTTCGAACTCAATTGTTCCTTTTGATATTCGGGATTGCCGTATCGGGAACGTGAACAATCACATTAAACGATTGTTCATGTTATCACGGAAATAGTTAAAGATAATCACTGCTTAGTTTGTCAAATAAGTAAAACAGATAAGAAGTCGGCCGCCTCTTTTGAGGTAAATTTGACCAGAATAAGTTCAGAATTCGTTTGTTGAGAAATGGCACTAAAATCCGTTAGAAGATTCAAGGAAACACACAAAGCTGACGTAGTTTTGGTAATGACCCTTTTGAACAACTCAGAAATTTGGGTGGTGGTTGTTACCTTTTGATAAGAGTTCGTTCGTTCACTTCTAATTTTTGCTGACCCGCCGTTCTCAACTTTTGATCAATCACCGAAACTCGGGTCTATACAACAATATCTACAAGACAAACCAGAGAGCATTTTCTGAGATAAGCGGAAGCAAAACAGTCGGTCCACTTTTCGGGCCTTGTTTTGTCAATTCACAAAGAGGCATGAATGAATTAACTTCATCAAAGCCAAGATTCAGTCGTACAATACAGTTTCCACCCTATCAACCTCAGGGGTTAAGAAATCCAGCGGACGCACGTTTTCATCGATTGACGCTTGATAACCTTTCTCGTGGCTCTTCTGTCAAACGGTAATTTTCATTCTGAATGTTTTGGTTTCAGTTGACGGGATCAGCAAACCCAACAAGAGTCGCTCTGAATATTGCGCATGTTCTATACCACTCACATACCAACAAAAGAGAAGTACTCTGCTCTAAAGTTGTACTGAGGTTGGTGTTATAATCAACTCCGGAAACCCGGACTGACAAGTCTAGTATTTAAATTGCGGGTTGCTACGCTCTCTAACTTGCTTATGAAGCATGAATTTGATATACATATATGACATCTTTCTCATCTATCAGCGTGCACAGAAGGCTTAATGTGAGACACCAAGAGGCCATTTCATCCTAACGCAGGAAATGACCGAATTAAAATGGCAGTACGCACTACGCGTTGTCCGATAAGGAGGATGTTCTGTGTATCAACACACCCAGGAAGCTTATTACCAAAGGTGGTTGGAGTACATGGTACGGTTGGATTTTTCCGAATTCTTTGACGAAATGACAACGAGCAAAATTTTTTCTGTGGGACGACAACACCTGTACTCGTATGTTCAAATTTGTGTTCAGCTAAGTTTCATTATCCCAGTGGCACTTTAGCCCCGCGGGGCGCGTTCATGCAATCCGGTGATTTTGAAGCCTGTTCGGAGGCTTCCTCTTTTCCATCCCACCAAAGTCAGTTCATTATCCGATCTTATGCTATTTTTAGTGTAAGAATAACAAGTTTCAATGAGTAGGATGGTAGGAGCTGCCTAATTCTTATCAGCTTACGAATCTTGGGAGGAGTGTAAGAGTCTGCATTACACATAATACGTTACACATAAGCTGGATTCTTGCTTTTCTTGGTTTGCCGAGCTCCATGACACATAATCCCAAGTGTTGGAGTTAGTTCATGGTTAGCATTTCGACTCAATACAAATTAAGTGTAAAAAACAGAGGCCAAGCACCAGGAAAGCGGGTTGCTGTACCAACTGAGCTTGAACGGACTCTGCACTCAAGTCATATAAAAATGCACTCAGATTCCAAGTCGACTGATCGCACTTCTACCTGATGGACCGGTAGCCAGTAGCTGCCAATTGTTCTACCAAGCTCCTTATGTGACATCTGTGTAAGAATTTATGATCTTGGTGAAGAGTTATCACATTCCTACCTGTTCTGAATAAAAATAAAAATAGATAAACAGTGATATGTTTTACCGGGACAATAAATTTAGCAATCGGGTCAATTCAGAGGAAAATTTAATTTACAAAATCGCCTAAATTTAGACTTAGCCTGTCAACTGAGAGTGATTGATTTTTCAATTTCTGGAGCCTATAAAGTGACAGATTCATCATCACAAACCATAAAGTTCTCTGTCTAAAGGATAGACCGGAGTTAACCGGTTGCTACAACGACGGAAGGACTGTAACTCGGTGTCGCGCAGCTGTCCCTCTGATCAGGAATCAAAAATCACTTTCATCAAGTTTAAATGGATAAAACAATCACTTCGAAACAGAAGAAAAAACTATCCAGTATTCATAAAACAATCACTTCGAAACAGAGAAAAAACTATTCCAGTATTCAGAACAAACGTTTTCAGGTCAACGTACCCTTTCCATCCATTTTTAGGACACTTCGGTCCCCGACTAGTTAGTATTGTTATCAGAAGACGAGAATGTATACATTACTGAGTATTGCCCATTTTATCTTAAGTTGCCCTTTTGACGTAGCTCTTTCTGTCCAGGCAAAATGTCAACAATCACATAGCTTTGTACTTCGAACCCTTGTCCCACTTTATGGAAACTCTCGAGCAACACCTACGCAAAATCGATTTTCGACTGCTGATTATCCCCATCTTACAAATCTTCAGGGCTTTTCACGAATCGTGACTGTTAAACTGTCCCACGTTCAGTTCTGGTGTTAACTGTAATCCGTCATGCTACTACCTCTTTTCACGTGCATACATGAAACGGGCCATGTGGCTTGCTGCCACAGCCACTTTCTGCGCCCAATTTCGCACTATCATTGATCGCGCAGGAATCAATCAATGCAACAGCCTTCTGACGGTGTGGAAGTTGCCTGGGAATGGCTAGTAAGTAGACCGTATGAAGTTGACACGCACCTCTGTAATTTGTGGTGGTATGACGGCCGCTGATTTATCAACCACATGTTTATCTATGCCTGTTGTGTTTTTTTCACTGGCCCTCGTCCAGCAAGCGTGCAGGCACAGGTACCCAGCGCAAGCAATATATCCTTATAATGCAGCTACTTAAGCTTAATCAGTAGCGAGTTAGGGAAGGCTGGTAGCACATGCTGGGCAGCGCTTTGCTCACTGAGCTGATCGGCAACTGGCGAGGCCGTTATGCAACGACGAACGGATTGGGGATGAAAATTTCGCGGATAAATTGCCACCTCTGAAAACAAATTTATGGCGAACAACTAATAAGAATATTTAGGGATAGTCGGAAGCGACGTCTGCAGGTTCCCTGGGGTTAAAACTGTGGATTGGTTTTCGGAGTGCCACAATTTACTTTTAGCTAAAAATCACTACTGAAACAAACGTGTTACTAAAAAAACGGTGATCAGATCTTCCTGAGCACCTGCAGCTTCACCTGAGTCGTTGTGTACAAATAACGGCATGGAAGTGAGAGCGGTAGAGGAAGCGTTGAGCCTGTTCTGGATTTTCTTACGGTGCACCAATGTGTGATTACCAACTGTAAAATTTGTCCGATGAACGTGGTTAGCAATGATTGATTCGAACGCCGCATTGATGCACGATCCGAGCTGCAGCACTTCATATACTAGTCATACTGGAAAAGGTGAATGAAAATATCCCCTTGGTGACTTACTAGCCGACAGATTTGTTTATCATACAATAGGGAAACCAAGGGTTTTAGCCGCCAGTGATAGTTTTTAGATATGACTGCTGTCGCGCAAATCTTATGATGATGACACATTGGTCGCAGGTGTTTACACACAAAAAACGGCCACCCAAATCGTATCACGACGGGTGTCAGTGTAAGCGCGCGCGCGACAATCGAACACAGCTGACATGTCAGTGAACCGCACACCGCAACATCTGTCACAAGCGTAACCATCACGTACACGTAGCGGGGATTCTGTCGGACAAACTCTTGGGATTTTCCGGAGGTCGTAATTACTAACGGTGTCAGGATACTGGACTACTTAGACGTAGTGATTCGCTTGGTTCAAATTTCAGTAGTTCCATAGTTTAGATGAACTGTGGTGCCCATAAGGACAGTGCGCTATAATAGTTTTCCAGCCTAAATCAGTAGTTGGGATACTGATATATGAAACGCACCACTGTTTAGATTCGGCTGCTAGTGTACACCAATCTCCCATGATCACATACTGCTATAATTGCTGTGAATAACAAGGGGCATTTTTTATCATTCCACTAGAACATGATCAACATAACCACTTTGTTTTTGTCGAACTAGTCGCTGTTCCGGTAGATAAAACTCATCGTAATTCGGTAACTATGATAAAGCGTTGATGTTTAGCATAAACACACAAACAAGTTCTAATTGTATCGAGAAGACTGTGTTTCTACCGAATTCCGGGCATTGGAGAACTGATTTCGATCAATATTTTCAGGAGTAGAAGCCAGGCTCGGTCATTCGTAACATTTCTTTTTTAATGACTTCCCTTCTTGGATTTCAAATACAGGCACGCGTATTCGCACAAGGTGTTACGTTCCAAGCTAACATGTTTTATTTTCTACTAAAATACGTGGTTTGTCGTTTCAATAGTATGTTTTTATCTATATTTTGGTATTGAAATGCTACTTATATTGCTTAAGAAACTGTACCCAACCCATGCTTCAGTCGATCGTTCCAATCGACATTATTGTGCATTTTGGTGCGTTTTACTGTCCAGCTTCGCGTTTTTATCTCTTACCAAGATTTGGAACAAAACGAGTTCCAAGTAAAATATCACTTTCGTCAGCAAGTTATGCTGTTGGATTTGTACAGAGCTATAAAGTGCGACGCATCAACGCTTCTTGATGTCATCGTTATCCTAATTATGTGACGCTAAAAGGATAGTGGTGTATGCAGGTCAGCTCTCCGTATCAGTTACTCGGCTGTAGCGGCCTGTATGGGCAAAGAGAGCTTGCTAAAACGAAGTAGGTCTAATCTGTTCAGTCGGTTTCGGATCTCGCAATACCTCACTCTGTTATAATTCTTTTTTCAAGGAAACAAGAGTGCGAATCCACAGTGCAGCCCATTTCTGAATGGAACTTACTGCCGGCTGGTCATGCATTGGTTCGGCCCGGTGAGACACCCCAGATGCAGATCTACTTATTGTTCGGCAAGTGTTTCTGAGTCAACCCTATCAGTGAAGTCGTTGTCCTGTTATTCCGACTAGTTGGATACTGCGGTTGCAATGGTCCACGTAGACAATAGTGTCCCTAGTTCAGTCGACAGTTCCCCCACGCGCGGTGTGCTTGTTAGGCAAGATTATAATTTGGGAAAACGGGAGCAAATATCATCTTTCCTTCATATGATTGTGTGTCTCTAGAGTGGAAGACAAATAGAGTTGTGTTTTTTAACCTAAGTGCTGCTGCACTCATTCTAGAGTGCGAAAACTAACCGTGCAAAATAACACGCACAGGAAGTTTATCACTCAGTGTTTCCTAGAATAGTCGCCCAGTGACGAAACCGAACCCTTGCTATAAAGCATCAGTGCGTGAACAAGAAGAATTAGCGATTTCCTTTTTTAGGGTTGAAAGTGCCGGAACGGGGCCAGTAGCATGGGGACTTTTGTTCGCATAATGCGCATCCTTACGATGGATTCCATTAATCTACAGTTCCGTTAGTTTCAAGATACACAAGAGCTCAGACGTGGACTTTTAAACAAGTAACGTTTGAGGTCATGGATGTATGGTCTCAGATTCCAGCCTACTCGAAGGGGTCGGAAAGGGACGCGGACCGTACCGTACTGTATTACTTATACCGAAAGAAAAAAATATTGTAGTTGTAGTAACTTGACGGTTAACATTACCTTAATTCTATTACATTGTCCAAGTGAAGTTGTGAACCTCTGGGACGTACTCAAAACAAAAAAATCGGAGAACTCCCAAAAAATAAGGCAGTTCTATGGACATCTGTGTGGATCTTCCAGATGGGAAATCAAGCTTATGGAGACGGCTTTTCGTCTGTATCGATATTTCAAATGGAGCGTACACTGGGGACATTAGTAGAAACTGCTCGACTACCATACCAACTCTGGGACCGTTAAAGTTTGGTCCGCGAGGGTTGTCCTTATCAGTACCGTTACATTCCAGTCAAGTTCAGGCACGATAGGGCAAAGAAATGCATTGTGCGTTCGATGTTTTCTACTCTGTACGTTTGAACACCCAGAAGCTGCTTGGAATGATAGGAAGCCACGCAGAGTGCGGCAGTCCGCAAAACTCCAGAAAGAAACCCTATTTGAGGCGCACTGCTGGTGGTTTTTGTATCCGGGTTTTGATCTCCACGGCTTGGCTTCTTGTGTAGCGTGGGACGTCAGGAAGTCAACGGTTTCGATGGTCTTGCAAAATATTGTGGCGTGGGACGTCAGGAAGTCAGCGGTATTCGATGTTCGAGAGGATGTAGCGACGGCACACGTCGGTTCTGAAATGTGCAGATATACGGACTGGTATTAATGAGTTCATACGGTATACACAGCACACATGCGCACAGGTCGGGCGGGACAGAAGAGAACACCGGAGCGTGGTAACGACACACGTGTATTCAACCGAAACCGAAATCGGAAGTCGGGGGTGTACAAAGTTGAGTCAAGGTCAGTTGGGGGGGTGTACAAGCGGGATACTCTTCCCTGTCCAGGGCCCGTGGTGACCCGTCCGTGGTACCTGCAATAGGGGAAGAGAGGGAGGGAGAGGCACACATAATGTCATATGATAGACATACAATCCGGTACAGTCGGGTTTCAACTGCGTTACACTTGGGTTTCTTGAATGGTGAGCCGACATAGTGTTTCAAGGTCACAATGAGTATTTAGTGAACAAAGTGAGGTGAAACAAAGCAAAATATGCAACACGAAGCTGCCCCGGGTGCTTTATCACCCCATTGTTACTACATCTTCCCAGTTTTGTCCTTTTAGATAAACCATTCCACGTTCCAAAATGAAAGCGCTATCCCCTTTGAGAAGACGGCCAAAATCCATCTAGTTTTGCAACTTTTCTTCCTAGGTAGATACGGAACTCGAGCTTCTCCAGAACACTTTCCTACCCTATATTTACATTTATTTGTGCGCTGTCATACTGGGGAAAGCGACAGGCTTTGGGGTAATATCATAGTCGTGATTAGGACATTGACCCAAAGTTGCTGGAGTAAATAAGGAACATTGAAACCGCGGATACACGAAGATAAAAATACACTTATGCATTTTTGTGCACGCTGCAGAATCTCCCATTAGTTTGCGAATATACACTCATCTGCAACCTAATTTGGTTATTTCGAGAAACTCACATGGAACCCAGCTGAATCTCTCGTTTATGATGTTCTCAGGCAACTGAATGTGCTGCACCAGGCCGCCTCATGTTTCAGTCGCTACGAGATTTGAAATATCTCGATACATGTATATTTGTAATGTACTACTCATAAGGTTGCTGAAAATCCATCGACAGCCCACGACAGATTTCGCCCTTCTTGGAGCTCATCAGGTAGGCGCAGTCCCCGGGTTTCCGTCAATCTTATGTTCTACTTGAAACCAAAATGCACGAAATTAGCGAATATACACTCATCCGCAAACTAATTTCGTTCTTTCGAGAGACTCACCTGGAACCCAGGATGAGTGTATATTCGCTAATTTCGTGCATTTTGGTTTCAAGTAGGACATAAGATTGACGGAAACCCGGGGACTGCGCCTACCTGGTGAGCCCCAAGAAGGGCGAAACCGGTCGTGGGCTGTCGATGGACTCCCATTAGTTTCATGAAGGAACACTGCTCTTGAGGTTACCGAAACGCCTGTATTGAAACAGAATTTGACGCGATTAGGAGATACACACGCTCTCACGGATGCTTGCATGCGGGCAGAATGACTTGAATAGTCATTGGTTATAACTAGCCGCGCGTGGAGATAAAACATTCATAACAGACCACTAGTGTTGAATCTAACTTGACCTTATGGTAATTCTTCCATTCATTTGCTTACTCCGCCTATGTACTTTTGATTTCCAGTTGTTTTGCTTATTCATACCCGCCACTCACCTTGCCGCAGAGGCCGTCATTTCCGACACTTGTGTTGACATATGTCTCTGTGAATGTGCGCTGCTGACCTACTTGCCCATGTGCCTTCATGTCCCGTTTGCTGAGCATTCCTTGACTTGTTTTCTCATAGGTTTTCGTGTGATCGCACGTCCAATGAGAATCACGAGAGCGTCATCGGACGGGACGACCGCAACCCACGCTACTTAGCCATGATTCCGCTCGCCGTCATTTGTGACAAATCTGTGGGCTTGTTGACCCTCCGAACGTGAACAGTACCGTAGAATTAGGAACCCAATTCTTCCTTTTGATATTCGGGATTGTCGAACCTACGCGTCACTCAAATTTCCGTATCGGGAACCCCAACAACAAGAATTGTAGCTCTATGGGTTGCTTAACTATTGATCAGGTGGCAGTTGATCTCTTCACCGAGCTGGGAAACTGGTTTGCACACGTTTCCTCAGTGCGTCCCGTGGTTGGGTGGTTTCACCAATCCTGCTTGCGATTATATAGCTTCAAAAGCGTAGTTAGTGTGTAGGACGGGATCGGTTGTTCGAAGATTTTTTGGCACTTAATTTGATTGGCCATCTCGGGATTGATTTTACGTAGTGGTCCACTTACCCTGCATGTGGTTGGTTTATTGAATAGCTTCACTAGAGTAGTTCTCTTCCTCATTGCCGATCACTGCATCTTGATTTTTTGTGCATGCCTTCTAGCCGATCTCCTTACCATTTGATCGGTCATTTGAACACTTTTTTCTTCGGCAGATTCCCTTCTTGGGTTTTGCTCGTTTCGTTTGCCATTTCGGTTTCTTTGTGGCCTTTGACCCGTTCATGTAATCCTCGAATCAACCTTCATTCGATATTTTTTGGACCATTTGGTTTTGGCTCGTGTGACCGTCCCAGTAGTTTTGATTTTTGCCGAGCGTTTTGTGTCCTCCTGGTGGTCTTTACCGTCTCATTTTCTCGTCTATTGAACGGTTTGGGGCTTCAGTGCCTTTAAGTTTTTTGTTCGTGAAAATCCGGTAGACTGGGTGTATCTCGGTGTGCATGTTAATGGATTTCCCATTTAAGTGCCAAGTCTCCACAAACTCATGTTCACTCCTGGTTCTTGTTAAGGATAGTATATGGACGTTGTCCCAGATGAATCTATGTCTTTCTTGACCTTCGTGTGCGGAAACGAGTGAGGATTAGTCAGCTTGCTTAACGGAAAGTTGCTATTCGTGCAGTCTGGTGAGTGGTTTCCTCTTCAGTCCGCCCAATTAGCGTTTGTCACAATCTCTCCATTGGGTTTTGCATTTAAAACGGGTCTCCTATTTTGTGGTTTTCAGTCCTTATTTTGACTTTGTCACTGCCCTCGGAAGCATGTTCGTTGGTTTTAATGATGCCGTTATGTTGTGCTGTCGTAACAGCCGTGCATACACTTTGGAAATGTCCATGATGTATGAGACTGTATCATGTTAGTTTTCTGCTACTTTTGTTGAATCGATCGAGTTACATTCTCAGGGATCTCGAAATAGAATTCCTCGGATAGCGATTGGTTTGAAAGGGTCTGCAGAGGTACTTTTCTTCTACCTGGTGGTTTTGCATTTATGTTATTTCCACCCTACTTTTGAGCCGCTAACGCACGAGTACCCCTCATGTTTCGATGAGCTTCGAATCAAACATCAGTGACTTCAAGGTGCCAAAACATTGATTACATACTACTTAACTTCTCCAAGTAGTTATAAAACGAAATGGATTTTTACACGAGCGACATCGAAGCTGTGAAACAGGGTAAGTCATCACAACGGCAAGCTGAAGTGGTATATACTTTCGTGTTAAGGTTTCGAAATAACAGTGACCAAACTTCAGATCTTCTGTGCACGTTCTTGGGATGTCATTTTTTGTCATTTCCCCCACATTCGAACACGTTCAAATCTAGTTTGTTACTCGAGCACACGAATTGCACCGTGGCTCTTTATTTGGGTATCTGCTAGGGAATAAATGGACTAGAAAATCAATGTTCCTGATGTTACTTCTGTCAGTGCTAAACTTTGGTTAGGAAGAATGAAAATGCGCAGGAGTTTCCCTATGACCCAGAAGGGCGTAGTGGTGGAAAACCTTAATCTGGCTGCACCAGAAATAAGCTGCCACTTTTTGACAAGTAGATGCTCGCAGATACTATTCTGTGAATTCTGTGAATAAAACATGTCACGATTGTATGCTCTAATTGGATTGGTCCCTAACTAGAGTAATGGTTTGTTTCAAAAATACCATTTTTTGGATTAGTACACCGTATTGTTAACGAAAGGTTACCGGCAGCGGATTTTCGAATTCAAGAAATTAAATTACTTTATAAGACCTCCCAATTAAACAAACCAAGTACATCAAAAATAGTTGAAGTATCTCAGTAATTTCCATGGACTTTATTCGCCCATATTTTTCAGACCATGTCGGTTGGCAACCATTTGACAGGGAGGTTTGCATAGATTGCAAACGGTACCCGTGGTTAGTGATTGATCATATCTGATATGCTCCGGGAAACTTAAAACACACAGCAACAAGGAGCAGTCAGTAGGAGTAGTAATCAATAGTAAAGAGTAATAAGTGTAATGAGTCTGTTATCACCTCAAATCCCCCCACTTGTGCATTTCAAACAATGTAAGAACTAGCTGGACTTACAGAACAACACCTCAATTGTGAATTACCAAACCTCTTCAAACTACCATGAGCCAATAAGTAGCTCAGAGAAAGAACAATAACACAAGGTGAGTGAAGCTCTGAAACGTCTTCACTTGAAGAGTCAGTCAGTACGTGAAAACGTGATGTGCTTTCCGTCACTGAAGGATGAGCTGCGCTATAGCTTGTCTAAATGAAAGCTAATCACACTACTGAATAGCCGCTCGTGGCCAAACGATTAGGTGTTCAAACACTAAGCGGGAGGTCGCTGATTCGAAATTGCCTTGAATTTCATGAATTGCTGACGGCTTTCAATAAGAGCTGTACAGTGCTACTCGGCTTTTTACAATAGATAGGTGTCACACACAGGACGAAACGTCAATTGTGGATGTAATAATAAATGGATCTTTTTGGCAATGACCTTGTGACCTGCTTATTTCAGGAAAGATACTTTTTCCATGTGCGGGCGTCTTCACATATCCTATTTGGACCATTCAGTCATTCAAAGCCTCTACGTATTTATCTGTTCGGACAGATTTTGTGGAACACAGTGAAGGGTTCATGTGTTATTCTTCTAATGAATAACCTTGTTTAGGTTTGTTCTAGATACTATTTAAACCTGAGCCTTTTCCATAAGTAGATGTAGCGAATGTTAGGCTTAATCATGCCAACATTTGAACTCAGACAGTAATACACCTGCGTGCTTTTCAGTTTATTGGGTGAATTTTACCAGACACACCACAGTTGTTACCGCTAAGTCAATTTCGTTCATTTTTCCTGTCAACGCGTTACGTGAGAAATACATTAACAAATTCACTGCAGGTGGTTTATGATGAAAACGATGGATTACTCGGTAGTCCGGGATGCGACCAACGCACATTGGAGGTAGCACTACGCGGTTGCACAAAGTACACTTGCAGCCACGAGCGGCCAATTTCACTGCGAGTCCAGGCTTCTAGTAGCAGTAGAAAAACGGCCGAACACAAGGTCAAAACTTATAATTAACAAGAACAGGGGGCAGGAACTTTCCGGAAACCTGTAAATAAAATTAGAACGGGCGTAGGGATACGTTTTTCTATGATTTTTAACTTTGTTGGGGGCTTGTTAAGTAGGGACCGATTTCTAAAAGATATGTAATTACCCAGGTAACGAAATACACTCATTTGCGGAAAAAATTTGGTTTTTTGCTAGAGACTCACCTGAAACCCAGCTGAATCTCACGTTCATGGTGTTTCCAGGCAACTGAATGTACTGCACCAGGCCGTCTCAGGTTTCATTTGGTACGATATTCGAGATATCGCGATACATGTATATTTGTAACTTGCTACTCGTAAGGTTGCTGAAAATCCTTCGAAGAGAGGTCTTGAAAGACTTTTGCTGTGTAAGTAATTGAACAATGTAGAGTTTCACATGAACTTTGGAAGCTAACTTTGCAGTTGTTTTCATTCTTTTCTGGTTTTGGACGTGAGTTGGCAGAGAAGACAGTATGAAGTGAGTTCATCCTGAAACAATATTGTTCGCACAACCTTGTTCAAGCTGAGATTACAATGCTTTAAAAGTGAAATTATTTGCGTCCATCTGAATCGGTTAAGAAGCATGTCATGTCGACTGCGTAGGCAGTCGAAACCGGGTGAGTTACGATTACAACGCACAAATCAACTGGTATTCACGTAAGAATACAGAAACAACTTCACAGGCTGCCTGGTAGTTTATGATCAATATTTCAATGTTGCTTTGACTCCTTGGATTGTTTGTGGCGCTGTCTAATATCCTCTCTGAAATAATGACATAATTTACGTAAATAACTGAAAAAAACAATAGGTACTGCATTAAATACAAGTTTGTTGGAAACTCGCCAACAGCATACTACTCTCTTCGTCCGCGTTAACTTCTCAATTCTTCATGAACCACATTTTTCCCTTCCTCATTAAGGTGAACTTGACCGGATCTAAACACTCACTTGAAAAATAAGATGTGAATGCGAAATTCGGATTTATATGTCGTTTTTATATTATTCAGCCAAACGAAGGGACACGGTTAGCTCCAGTATTTATTTGTACAGATATTTAGGATATTAAAGCATTCTATTCGGTATGATATACCATTTATACGGTTGATTAAATCGTCCACTGCCGGCTTCACTTTCTTTGGGACTAATCTGGCGATCTAGGTTGCTAGTGCGCGTTTAAATCCAGTTCAAAAAGGGAACTTGCTTGATGACGATACGGGAACTACCCGATGAGTCGGAAGCGGTGGGCTGTCACTGAAGTCTCATCAGCATCATAACTAAGATATCACCAACAGAAGTACTTCGATACTGTGAATATTGACCCAACTGAGCTCTGGGGCACTCTGTGCTGCATACTCAATTAAAGAACATCATTACCGGTAGATTTATTTAAGTGTCATGTCAACACAGTTGCAATTTACTAGTCACAATATGGGTGAAAGGAAAAAGGCCTTCACTGCGGAGTTGGTTATTAGGGAAACACCGACTAAACGGTTACAAACTATTGGACAGGGGAGCAAAACTCTCATATGCATCTTGTTTATAAAAACTGAGTATCCGCCTTCTTCTCGAAGGCGTCTTCCTAAATTTCCTGGAGATTAGTCGACTGTTACTCAAATGCACGCAAATGCTAAAAAGTGACTCCACAAATTCCGTAATAGATCTCACTTTTCAAGAGACGTGAAGTGGATTAACGAGAAGATCCTACTCGCATGTCTCATCAGTAGTATCCATCGTTACCGGTACTAATCACCCACTATCCTGATCCGTCATTTTCTTCTGCGTGATACGTGCACCTGCCCACTCGAGTAAACGAGTTTTTCGATTGTTGTTGATGCCATTGATACAACTGGCGGTATACTGCCTATTCCGGTCAGCCCTCTAAGGTCAGCGGGTGACTGCACACACACACACACACATGCGCACATTCTCCCGCAGTTGCTTTGCTTTCCATCAAACAAACTGACCAATCACGGACGTTCGTTTACCTTCAGTGCGTTAGCTGTCATCCATAGTTTGGGTGAACATCGCAAGACAGCCCAAAAAATCGATCGTAGACAGTGCACAAATCAGCACGAGCCTTCATCAAATCAAAAGAAACAGCGGCACTGGTAGTCACAAATTACGTTTTCAATAGCGCAGTTTTCCCTAGTTCAGAACCCACATGTTTCACCAAGTGATAAGCTTGGTTTTACTGCTCGGATTCAGTGCAGCATGGGATATTTCCGCTCAGAAAAACGCGAAAACGAAGTATGTGGGAACCCATACGCTCGAACCGTGTCAGCAGTGTGACTATACAAAGTGTACCATCCCGACAGAGTGCAAAGCTGGTCTGGTGTTAGATCGTTGCGGCTGTTGCCGTGTCTGTGGTCTGGAAGAATCGCATCTGTGCAATCTAGAGGAAGAAATCGCTTTGCTGAGCCGGGGACGATCTGTGGTCCCTTGGCATGGACGATGTGGTCGAAATCTGGAATGTCGCACAAGGACTGATGTTGATCCGAAAGTGATCAGGAAGCAGAACATATGCTACTGCCTTGAACCTGGCCTAGTGTGTGGCACGGATGGCAAGACCTACACGCACTGCGAACTTGAAGCAGAACAGGCTTTGTCTAATCGGACTCTTGAGAAAATGAGTGACGGTCCATGCCGAGTCAGTGAGTTACTGTGCTTGTTCTGTCCATATTAGCCGATCGCCGCAATACCAATTAAAGCATATGGTAGGAGATGAGCTTGGATTTTGCTACCAATCCGTGTTTGTAGCTTAGATTGTATGAATGAGTGTTGGTTTGATTGCAACCAAAATGGATATCTCTCTGATTCTACTTTCTTCAAAGTCTTTTATGCCATATTGGTATTAGCCTGACTGGTTATCCTGGCTTACAACCTACCAATTTGTACTCTAGTAGACAATATCGTTCGCGACCTGGGGTCGAACGCTTTCAAATTGGCTGCGGCCTCCCATCTTGCTTATACGTACGTACGTTTCCAAAATAAGGACGTAAAAAGAAACTTACAAAAGTTTGGATGTAGACAGCTTGGCTACAGATTGTTCCCAGCAATCTGTTGGACCACGTCGAATTACGCGCAAAACCCCAAAAGCCAAATCCTTCAAATGGAGGCTTATCTGCAAATGCGGTACTACAAATACAATAGTAAACTAATGAAACTTTACGAACCTAAAATCGTGGGACTATGCCGGCTTTTATACACCGGCTTAGAACTGCTAATTCCTAACGGATCTCACAGTCCACACCGACTCAAAGCCACGTGTTTACAAGCTTAGGAAATCATGCGCGGACTTAAACAGCACGTCCGATGACAAGGTCAAAGAACGGTTTATATTCAGGTCAAAAACAAGAAGGGTGGTATAGGTGTGAAACCAAAACAATAAAAAGGGGGAATCGCGTTGTACAATAGAAAAAAGGAATCAACAGTGGTGGACTGTAAACCTTCACAGCTGAGAAAAACAATGAAATAATTATCTTGTATCTCGAATAAAGTGCATGCTTCATCACGTTCAAAATGAGAGCTGTGTCACACAGAGCACCGATATTCATTTGGAAAAAAACTATGCATCAACTTTACCTGTAGTCCTATGTTATTAAGAGGACGACATAAGCCTTGGATACCACACACAGAAAACAGGTACCCCTAGTTTTCGAAATAGACAATATCTAGAGTTATCACGCTAGTCCGAAACGCGCAGCACTGGCAGTATAAACGGTTCCATTCTACCCTGCACGCATGTTTGCCATTTCCGAGGTAATGCTCTCTGTATACCATCCTTTTACTGCTCGTCTAAGTGTAATTTGTAAAGCTATGTGTAACGGCGTATGCTTCTGATAAAATATGTCAGTAGTATCTGGTCATGTGTCAAACCATCGTCCCCGCATGTTGGTACTGAAAATATGGAACCAATTTCCAGTACCAGTTCAATACTGCTTAGTATTTGGAAAACGTCTAGAAGAGTTTGAGAAACTGTTTGAAAATGTTCCCTTTACAAATACTCTGTGCAAATGAGACTTTCACTTTCGTGCTTAATAGTTTACAACCGCTTAGTTCGTGTTGACCGATCCACTGGGGGGGGCGTTCTTCCATTCAACAACATCAGACCGTCAGAGACCTTTTTGAGTGTCCTCATCCAGGACCAGCTCATAACATATTTTCCGCGTAAGCTTCGTTGGGGCTCGCCATTTTGAGGAGGATCGTACCACAGTCCGTGGGTAGTTGCTCATAATTTTATTGCCTGGTAAATGATTTTAACCCTCAGGAAGGATAGTGTACCTACCCTCTTTTCTGTGCCAGCGGTCAGGCACACAAAATAACCTGTCCGATTACCACTGCCATAACACGCGAGTTAAGATGCAAGGAAAGAATAATAATTGAGATGCGAAATGAAGTGTGGTTGAAACGGTGGCGCGCTTTTCGCCGTAAATTTCGGCAACTTACACCCAAGCGATCCACAGTCTGCTTAATGAAAATACGAACTTAGCTCGGCAAGACGAAAAGAAGTAGGAATCCATCTAGGTAAACTACCGAACGAGGATGCGGGTAGTGTTGCCATTTCACATATGATATCATTTTACAGGATCAATATCCATTAAAAGCGCATCATAAAGCTACTTATGTAACGGTGGATACTACTGCTGGGGCATGTGAGTAGTATGTTTTCTCGTAAATCCGCTTTGCGTTCCTTGAAAAGTGAGATCTGTTACGGAATGTGTAGAGTCACTTTGTAACATTTGCTTGCATTTGAGTACCAGTCAATGAATATTCAATAAAGTTCAGAAAGACGCGTTTAAGGAGATGATGGTTGATCAGTTTTTATAAACAAGATGCACATGAGAGTTTTACTTCCCGGTCCAATAGTCTGTAGCTGTTCAGTTGGTGTTTCCTAATAAATATCTTCGAGGCAAGGGCCCTGCTTCCTTTCAATTGTATCAAACGTTTCAGCAGGCTGACTGTGGGCCCAAGAGTAATGCAATAATGGTCTTAATCAAATCTCACGACTATAAACTTCCCAGAAATGGGCAAAGTCCCAAAAGAAACTTTTTCTGTGTTCTATTCCCTACTCGAGTGGATGACCATAGCTGGACGCGAATTTTTCTGCGTGTGTGCATACCACCTGCGCAGGATTGTGCGCAGTCGCCACATGTAGTTTAGTTATGTGCGTTGCGCGAGTTTTCCAAATTGTGTTTTGTAGTAGTGCGCAGGTATTCGTGTCAATATAGCGGGTCGATTCTTGCGATCGCATGTTATACGTACAAACGATTGTACTTTAATCAGCAGTGCATATTGGTTGTTGAATCGATCGATGCGTTCGGTGTTTACGCGGCATAAAAAGCAATAAAACCTATGTAGGCGGAACAAATTTTTTTGCTCCCAATAACATAAAAGTGGAATAAGGTGCGCTGTTCCAAGTTAGAAATGACTTCGATCTATCTGAGGAATGTATTTTCAACAGGAGTGTTGATTATAAAACAGTGTAAGGATAAAAGTCCGGTTCCGGTGATGGTGAATGAGGCTGAACATCCTTCAAGTTTTTACCAAGACAGGTAGGGTGGGCCGCAAGCCTAGTAAATGCCACAATCAGATTTATGGTCATAACAGACCTATTACTAGACCAAGACACTTTCAAAGACCGTATCAGGTTTTCTCTGGACGTAGAACTGTGTGTTGCACGACCGAATCCGAACGATTTTAATCGTTTGAATAAATCATCCATAGATAATTTCTGGTTTCCTCACCATGGGCTTTGTTGCAGTATGCCAAATTTTATCTAGAGAAACCGACCGAGTGTACTAGTTTGACGTGATTTGTTCTGCGAACGTATCTCTTATCAGGTTTAAAGACTAGCCACAGATTTCGAGAAGCTTCAGATAACCCGGCATTTCCGTATGTGATCACAGACAGCCTCTAACTGAGATCACTTCTGGTCGTGCTGTCGCTTCAGGTGACTTCATGCTGACGATGTCTCCCAAAGTAGCTGAGTGTGGGGATAGCTTGAAGGGTGATCCCACTTCGATTCCACTTCCGAAGAAAGTGCGCCCTTCTTGGGGCTCATCAGCTAGGCGCAGTCCCTGAGTCTCCGCCAACCTTATGTTCTACTTGAAACCAAACTGCATGATACTAGCGAATATACACTCATTTGCAAACTTATTTCCATCTGGAACCCAGCTGAATCTCTCGGTTTTGATGTTTCCAGGCAACTGAATGTGCGGCCCCCAACCCGCCTCATGTTTCAGTTGCCTGGAAACATCAAAACCGAGAGATTCAGCTGGGTTCCAGATGGAAATAAGTTTGCAAATGAGTGTATATTCGCTAGTATCATGCAGTTTGGTTTCAAGTAGAACATAAGGTTGGCGGAGACTCAGGGACTGCGCCTAGCTGATGAGCCCCAAGAAGGGCGAAACCGGTCCTGTCGAGTCGAGGAGTTTCCAGCAACCTTATGAGTAGTGCATTACGAATATATAAAATGTACTTTCTATGTTGATTCTGAAAATTCTGACCGGGGATGAGTGTTTACTAAGCTAGAAATTTTAGGAAAAACGCATGTATGAATCTGGAGCGTGTCAAAAAACTGGAAGAATGCTTCGATATTTTATCATGAAGCAGTTTTCATTGGTTAGAAACACGGAATAAAAAGTTGTTAATTAGACTCGATGCTGAAACTGGCACCATCTGAAATTTGCTGGCTTTTTCTGATTCGATCTATTGTCAATGATCGCAAAATTTTAGCGTTTCTCTCCAAACGCATCGTTGTGATAATGACATTTTTGGCGAATTTTCTGAGGTTAAACCACTTTCTAGGTCTTACAAGCAGAAGTGAACATAGACTAACCGGAATTAACAGCTTGCGCAGACGTTTTTTACATTCATACGGAACACTTCGGAGATCCTCATGTTGATTGGTAACGCTATATGAGTCTACTGAATACATTTTGTATGAGCTCTTTATCATGATAAAATCGAGATTTATCAGTTGCGCAGTACTCATGAACAAACTGTCTTTCACACCCGGTACAAATTCGTTTGCTTTCGGACCACCAGGTTTGGCTCCACCGTCCGAGATGCACAACGAAATTGCAAATCCAACTGCGGTCGTCATTGTCCATTGGTTTGTTTGGCACTGCACTCTTTCACATTCACACAGTGGGGAGATTCCCGTGTTAGGCGCACGCCCGGGTGTACTTTATTCGTTAGTGGTTGACGACCGGTAGGTCGATCAATGCAGTAGACGCAACAGCGGGTAGGACGTCACCAACATTGACGCACGCGGCAGGAACCGAAGGGCACTCGCCATTTGAAGTTTTTGTGATAGCTGAGTTAGGAAGTTGGAAAATGTACGCCCTTGATTTGAAGACAACTCGATAAAAATTCCTCTATGCATGCTACTAAATGCTACCGAATGTTCGCAGAAGAACAACACTGAAGTGAATAAGAATGCGGGGAGGGGGGAGATATGAACTAGTAGCTGGAGCTGCCAGAAATCTACGAAAGCCTATCAAAATCATTAAGGCAGGACTCAGACATGATCTTCCAATAGCGATAATAGTAAACAGGTTTGCCATTGCTGAGAGGAGCACCACAATGCATCTGATCACATAGGGAAGTACAGCCCTCCGTCCAACCAAGCAGCATATCCACCCATTGTACATATTGTAGAAACAGGCCATTCTAGGGATATCCATTGCTTTCACTTATAAATCTTTATAAATCTTCAAATCTTCTTTATAAATCCAATTTTTTGTGAGCAAGCAAGAAACGTTCACTGCGAATCACAGTATTGAGACTGTGTGTTGGTTGGCAGGCGAAAATACGACCACTGTAAAACAATTTTTCCGGATGCCGTTGTTTGGTTCGCTGGAAAACAACAGGTTCAATCCGATAAGAACAGGCAACTACTCGAGACGCCACCTTTAGTTCACTTTTGCACAAACATTCGTCAATCTCATGGTCCAGCCGCACGCTGATTTCCTGGCGGATACCATGCAGGTTACTTGTCGTAGAGGTCAAGGCCGCAACCATCAGCGGTGAGGAAAGAATAAACCAAACGGCTAAGGACGCAACAGAAATTATCCTTCGTCAGGTATAGTGTGCCAATGAAATGAAAACTTTTTCGATCATCAACGGGCCTTCGAGATTAACGGAAATGTCTTCCAAATCGAGTGGCGTCCTAATGCGGAACAAACCTGCTTTTTACTATACTCCGGGCACAGTTAAGGATATTTGAGATTCAAAAGTAAAACGAGACCAAAATCGCTTCTTGCAGATATTGGGACCTGGGATCGAAATATCTACGACCTTGCAGTGAACGGCGGGCACTCAGTCATGCCTGAATAAATGACGAGTTTTCTGTTAGACCTGGAGACCTTGGAGACCTTAGAAAATTCCTCTCAAACTGACTGATGGCACATTGTGCGGATGTCACTGATACCACATGTTATGATGCTGCAGAAAACTAATATACTTTTTCGATCATCAACGGGCCTTCGAGATTAACGGAAATGTCTTCCAAATCGAGTGGCGTCCTAATGCGGAACAAACCTGCTTTTTGCTATACTCCGGGTACAGTTAAAGATATTTGAGATTCAAAAGTAAAATGAGACCAAAATCGCTTCTTGCAGATATTGGGACCTGGGATCGAAATATCTACGACCTTGCAGTGAACGGTGGGCACTCAGTCATGCCTGAATAAATGGCGAGTTTTCTGTTAGACCAACCTTATGAGTAGTGCATTGCAAATCCACATTTATATGGACTGGTTTTATTTTTGAAGCAACTTGTTCTGAACATGCAGGCTAGGAAAAAACCACGAAGTACCAGACAAAACAAAACAGCTGCAATTTCTCACCAGATGGGGAGAACAAAATATGATTTCAGCGCGTATTTAAACACACCAGTCACATGCCTTATTTCCATCCACGACACAGTATGCACTTGTGTACGTGAACTTCAATTTAGAAGTTTCTGAATTTTCATTTATTATGAGACGAATTCAGGTGCTACTATTTGTCAGTATTGATAGAGACGAACGAGTCTATTTAAGTTGCGCATCATTTTGAATTCTATCCATTTCAGAACCAAAAGCTGAACTGCGCGTTGCTGGTGGATTAGTCAAACGTGGGGAGAAATTCACCCTTGTCTGTGAGGCTGTTGGCTATCCGCGTGCTGACGTCACATGGCACCTGAGTAAACCTGGGGACCAAGGCATCAGCCGAAAAATGCCTGGTAAGCCTCGTGCGGTTACGGAGGTACAGTGTGTACAGGACCTGAAGATACATAAAGTGGACGCTGTGAGATGCATGCATTCTGTATTGTTCATTTGCACAGAGAGCATAATTTATAACACCTCCAGGAAGTGACCAGTCACATGAAAACAAAACGTCATGGTTAGGTCAAAAGGATATGAACGGAAGCTTTTCTAAGCCAGTGAGGCCTCACTGTCACCTTAAATAGCTCTGGAACTCGTCCGGGAATTAGTTTGACGGTTGTTGATCAGGTTGCTGTTGATCCGTTCGCTGGGCTTGGCAATTGACTTGCAAATGTTTCGTCACCATTCGAGGAGACATCATTCGTGCTCAGATGGGTGGGTTTGACGGCTTCCGTGAACATAGGACACTTGTGTTGGTGTTGCAATAGTGAGAGCGCAAAAATTTGATAGCTAGGTTTAAATCAACTTAAGAACTTGCTGCAAGTGGATCGTTGTTTTCGGATAGTTATGGTCACCTTCGAACATCGACCCTCCAAATATGAGCAGTGAATTAATACTGCGAAAGTATTGCAGTCCTTTCTGATGAAAAAACCCAAAAGTGGTGGGAAACTAGCGTGCAATGATGCCACTGAGCAGTGATGATTTCACTAACTTAATACTACAGTTAGGAGAGAGGCCTCTATATTCAGTCATTGTCAATAGAGATTCCGTTCCATCAATGAAGCCAGTTTAAGCTGAAAAGCCCAGAAACACTGTACAGTTGTTTTCCGCCATTTGAAATTATCGGCTGTGCACATCTCCCAAAACTAGAGGGAGTTTCGTTCCCACAACCTCCCGGCCAGTAGTTTGAATCTAACCGTCTGGCCACAAGGGGCAAATCAGCCATGTGATTATCTCGCATTTAGACAGGGTACTCATCATTCAACCACGGAAACCTCATCGGGCGACCATGTGTTGACTGGCTCTTCGATCAATCAACCAATCACGTAGCAGAAGGCGGACCACAAAGCAACGCACTTCACGGACGAACCAATCGGAGTCAAAGTGGGATGAACATGAACAGTAAGTCAGGTGGAGCTTAGAGCTGCTTTTTGGAAACTTCATAAGCGTGGGGACGAAGAGAGGAACTAGACGCATCCATTCATGTAATCCTGAAATTTGGTCAACAATGTTGTGACCACAAGGGTAAAAAGTAAGGTGTAAGGATTCAATAAGCTTGTAAGCGTTTGGGTGTTTCACGTAATAAATTTGCGCGTACGAAGTGGCGATTGTCATGCGCTGTTCCACCTCCAATGAGCGATGGCATTCTGAGCACGTTCATTGGCTGATGAGGCGGATTTCATGATGAGGCAACACTACGAAATCACACTCCGGTTACCCTTTCACTCCTTTGTCTGACCATTCATTCTCATCTTCAACAGTCATTTAGAAGACAGATAATGCACAATAGCAAGACAGAAGGCCGTTTTCGAAAAAGTACTTCTGCTGCTGCGAGCTGTCAGACGTTAGATTAAAACCGAAGGTATTTACAGATTGGATGGAAGACAAATGAAGATGCAAATGCTGTAAAAAGTCACACACGGGAAGGCAGTATGGGGCACATGTGTCGTCCAGTTGACCGTAAGCACTTTTAGGAAATCGTCTCGTTTGTCCCCACCGTCTGCTTTGCTTCTGCCAGCTTCTGACATTTCAAGCTTGAAGGCATGGGATTATTGTCTGTGCTTGACCAAGGAACAACTTTCCACCGAGTTTGTCTCATAATTGGAGGCATTGGATCAATCCTTTTTACCATGAAGGGTTTGAGTGAAATTGTGACCGAATCCTTTAACTTCCAGTGGGCTATTTGACGGGCTGGTGTCCAGAATCACTGTTGAAATAAGCTTCTAACGAGTTACTTGAGATTCTTGAGGGTTGACCAAATAACGCGGTCACAAGGCTGCAGTTAGAACGCAAACCCAGTCAGTAGTTGTCCTAATAACTAAGCAATCATCCTAAATGTTTCATTTTCCTTAGGCAATACGAGGAATTCTTCACTGTTCATCCACACACATGCTCCTTCAGCCACTAATATGGAAGCTGAACGGACACCTCGAACTTTTCACTTCTCAAACCAAACCTTCTTTGTTGTCCACATGATGCTGATTGGATCCCTGAAGTGGGACAAACATCTTTGATAGCCTTGTCAAGTTAGTTAGCTTTATCAGACCAATATGTATGGATTGATCCACTTTGTTCCAACGGGTAGCTCTTTGTAGATTTGTACTGTCAGCCTCTTTTGGTTTCGCCTTAGCAGCTGTGGATAGAACATGGTTTATTCCTAGTCAATTAGTTGTAGAGTGGTACGGGATTTGGCGAATTCACGCTTACATCACTCTCGTTTGGACGGTCGTCCTCCTGTCCTGGCACAGTTATTCTGGTGAGTCCACACCGAAGGTCAAAGCACTGGATTCGAGTTTTGCTCTTATTAAGGCTTACCATCACCGTGCCGGGGTGGAGCAGTGGTAACACGCTCGCCTCGCATGCCAAATGTGCGGAGTTCCAACCCCGAAGTGGCGAAGGATATGCACTGCTGATGAGCTGTAGTGAGGGCGAAGTTCGAGTCCGGTGCTTCCGCCCTTTGGTGTGGACTCACCAGAATGATGGAGCCAGGACAGGGTTAGTCTGAGAACAATCCAGATCAACAGGCTCTAGGTTCAGTACCAATCAAAACATTAAAACATTTTGTACGAAGAACGATCGTATGTGTTTGGACAGATGGTGGTATAAATACCAGCTATCGATACTTTTCAGTCTACCTGCCACTCGGTTTCAAATAATCCTGTAAGAACAGGCTAGTAACCAACATACCCAATTATCACGTTTCAAAATTTATATCTTTGTTGGTACGACATTAGTGTACTAACCAAGTAGGTGGGCAGTATCACGTCACCCGAAATTCAGTTTCAGGTGGATGGTAGTAACTCCAACTCAGATTATCGTAACAGTTGTGGGTTTTACCACATGAATTACGAAAATATCAAAAAAGCATCCTCATACAGGACCAGCATAGCAAAGCGTTGTAGTTATGAGTGACACTTCTGTCGCAATTTAACTAAATTCCATGTCTCAGATATAAAATAAGCCTTAATATCTTGTAATAATACGTCCTACCGATAATCTCCATCACCTTTAAGCGTGAAATAACTGGGGTGGGTGTGTTGTTCAACAAGTTTATGAACAGATTCCCAATGTATTCTGAAATATGTTTTGGTGCTTGGTCACCAAGCGACCATTTTATCTTGTCCTCAGTGCGATTGCAACGGTATATACTGCTGATGAAACATGCTAGTAGTGTCTGGTTATGTGTCAAAGCTCCGTCCCCACATGTGACAAAACATTATTACGGAAATGACGAAACCGTTT